CCCCCCCCCAAAAAAAAAAATGGTAAATAAAACGAAAAAAAAAAATCTTTTTTTCTGTACTATTTTTTATGCTGTTTATTTCAAATAAATGTTTTTTGTTAATCATTTACCCGGAAAAATTAGCCGGAAAAAAAAAAGGCTGATAATCAATAATTGGAAAAGCAATGAGCAGAAAAAGTTTAATGGTGAAGTTCATTTGTTTATTGTCATTCAGTACTTTTTTTTTTTTTTTTGCTTTTTAAGGAATCAATGGAGTGAAAAAATGGTGAAAATAAAAAAAAAAAAAAAGTGAAGATTGTAGACAGAAAACTGTATTCTAAATGTAATGTTATTTTCTGATGTATGCGATATTTTTATGACAGTATAAATTTTGACATTTTTTTTTTTTTTTTTTTTCTGATTGTAACAGAGGAGGTAAAAAGTGAATTGAAAAGAGGTGCTGATGATGACAACAAAAATTGTGGAATTGAATAATTTGGCACATACATTTTATGATTTTTTTAGCAGATTATAATGCACAAAATAAAATTTTATTATATTTCACCTTTTTTTTCACTTAATAGGTTTGTTGAAATTGTAAAAAGTTGAAAATATTTATTTTTGTTAATTTATTGATTATTTTAGAAGGGGAAAAAAAAAGCTTTTTTTTACCTTTTAAAATAATAATTTAATAACTAACCAAAAAAAAAGAGTAAAAACTTTTCACCATTAACTTTTATTGTCACTGTTACAATTGTTGACGTTGTCATTGGTGTTGTTGTTTTCTGTTTTCATTCTTCTTCCTTTCCTCTTCCTCTTCTTTTTTTTTTTTTTTTCTTGTTGAAGAGTTTGCGAAATTAAATTATATTTAATCTTGTTGGAACCGAAAAAAAAAAGAGAAGAAAGAAGAAGAGGAAACGGCTGAAGTATTACACTTTATATGAAACCGAAAAAACGTTTAGAAGTTGATGTCTAAAAAGAAAAAAAAAGAAGAAGGAAAAAGTGCTTAACGCTCAACAACGTCGGTTTGTTTATTGTTATTATTTGTTGCTATTGTTGTCATCGCCGACGATCACGATGATTATGATGATGGGAACGATGATGGAGATGATGGTGAAGACTATGGAGATGGTGATGATGTTGGCTTTTGCTCTGTCTTCATCTATGGATATGCGTGTTGAGGTTTTGTTTGCAAAAACGATTTCAGAAGGGCCCGTATCAAACGGAAAAAGCAGTCAACCAAACAACTATAACCAACCAACTGGCTGGCTAATTTTTGCTTCCTTTTTTCACTCAGCTAACCAACTAAACTAAAGATTAACTGCTAATAAAACTAATTTATTAGCCAATATTATACAGAGCAGCAATTTTTAATTGTATCAACAGGTATAGATTTTTGGTATTTCACAAGTTTTCAGTGGAAGCTTTGCTTTTTCCGTTGCTGTTGGTGGTGAACTGTTTGTGTGCCATATTTGGTGTGCTTTAAAAGTAATCGAGGAACAACTGCGTGGATAATTTTGTCTGCTAATTCTTTTTTTTTTCTCTTTGAAAAGAAAAGAAAAGCGGCCAAAAAAAAAAAAAAGAAATTGAAGAAGAAAGGTTTTTTTTTTATTTTTTATGAGCATAAAATTTAAACAACACCATATACAAACATACATGTAACATATATCAACAACATAAACATGACTTCTGTAGAGATTGCACAACACGTAGACTGGTGAATAGAAATGAAGAAAGAGAAGAGAGAAGAGGATTTTAGAAATTTTTAAAA